TCTTTCAAACCTGCTGTATTTTTCTCCAAAGCACTTTGTTCATCTCACATACTGTAGCGAGGCAATGCTGCATCGTGCTTAGGAGAACAAACTCTGAAGGCAGATGCCTGGGTTTGTATCCCGGCTCTGTCACTTTCAAGATGTAAGACCTTGGCTTCTCTGAGCCTCCATTTTTTTGTAACGTGGGATAGTTTTTATCTCATGAGAACCTCGCATACAGTAATATGAGCTCACCATTATTATTACTGTTATGTTATTATTACTTTTTACTTAGTAATTTCATTTACCTTCCCTTTCTCCCATTGGAATATAAATCCCATGAGGGAAGAATTTTTTTTTTTACTTTGCTTATTGCTATATTTACAGCTTCTAGAGCAGTGCCTGGCACATAGTAGGCAGTTAATAAATATTTGTTAATCAAATTGTTACCTCTGGAAAGAGCAATGGGGAGAAGAAAGATCCAGGAGCCTTGAGCTCTATGTGTACTATTTAAAACTTTTGCCAAAAGAATGTATTCATGTATTACTTGTGTCCTCAAAAAGCTTATAGGCTTATGTGGAAAAAGACATAGAGACAAATGAATTCCTAGAGGACTGATAACACGAGAGTTGAGTTGTAACAGATGCACAGTTCAGATAAAGTACGGGAGGGATGGGGCAGCCTTGCAGACCGAGGGAATAGTGTGTGCAGAAGCAGAGAGGTAGGGGACATGATAGCAGCGCCGACAGCTGTAAGCAGCGGACATGGAGAGGGCTTGTCAGTGCTCTGGGCTGTTAAACGCTCCATCATATCCTTCTCTCTCACCCACTCCTGTGTTGCAGCATCTCCAGCTAAGTGTTTGGCTGTAATTAGGAGATTATTACTCCATTAACGCAAATATTTGGGGGTTTTTTTCTCATTATTTTCCAGGAAGTCTTTTTCTAGGCTCCTGCTTCCTATAAATGCGATTCATTTTGTTTCATTTACCACTTCACATTCGATTCTAGCTTCCTTTGGTGTCTTTGGTTTTTTATTATGAAGAAACTCATAATTTCTATCTGTGGAATAGAGTGAAAAAAAGGGAGATAAAAGTGACAGATAGATAGAGATAGTCTTATATAGCTTTGTTTAGAAGCACAGTTGTTCAACTCAATTGCTTAAGTAATTACAATCTAAAATCCTTTGAGTGTTAGTTTCCAGTTCCTTACCAAAGACTGAAAAGTGAAGAAACTCTTTTTCCAATGCATGATACAAGAGTTTTTGAAGTTGACTCTTTTTTTTTTTAACATTTATTTATATATTTGAGAGAGTGTGTGCGCATATGGGCGCAAGTTGGGAGAGAGGGGGAGAGACTCTCAAACAGACTCCCCCACTGAGCGCAGAGCCAGACCAGGATCAGTCTCATGACCCATGAGATCATGACCTGAGCCAAAATCATGAGTCAGATGCTTCACCGACTGAGCCCCCCAGGCGACCCTTGGGGTTGACTTTTTAAAATCAGGTCTCTTGGGGCACCTGGGTGGCTCAGTTGGTGCAGCGGTGGACTCGATTTTGGCTCAGGTCATGACTTCAGGGTTGTGAGATTAAGCCCCACATCAGGCTCCATGTTGGGCACCTGCTTAAGATTCTCTCCCTTTCCCTCTGCCTCTCCCCACCTCTAAGTAAATAAATTAATAAAATAAAATAAAATCAGGGCTTTTTCTCTGCCCACCTGGCTTCTCTCCATAAAGTTGTGAATGATGACAGCACAAACCAAGACAAGCAGTAGCATTAATCCCCTCCGGTAGCTCCTGGTACCATCTTTGTTTATATGTTGTCTCACATTGAGTTGTGATTATCTGTCTCTAAGAGTCCCTTAAAGGTAGGAATCATAACAAGTGTTCCTTTGTACACCTAGCTCAGTGCCTACTTGATAATGAATGCTTAAACACCTGTTAAATTGAACTGAGCTGAATTGAATTAGATTATGGTATCACAGGAGAAGGGAATTTTTGAATTTGCTTCTAAAGTGAAATTGATTTAAAACAAAGCTAGATCCGAGGATCATAGGGGAAGGGAGGGAAAACCGAATGGGAAGAAATCAGAGAGGGAGACAAACCATGAGAGACTCTTGACTCTGGGAAACAAACTGAGGGTTGTGGAAGGGAGGTGGTTGGGGGGATGGGGTAACTGGGTGATGGGCATTAAGGAGGGCACGCGATGTGATGAGCACTGATTGTTATATGCAACTAATGAATCAATGAACACTATATCAAAAACTAATGATGTACTATATGTTGGCTAATTGAATTTAAATAAATCTCTATATGCAAAAAAAAGCTAGGAAACAAAAGTCATTCTTTTGTTGTTGTTTTTAAACACAGTCTAAATTTGGGGTATAGATACCAATATGTTCATTGCCCATAATTTTTAAAGCATTCTGCTGTGACTCATCAAAGTCCTCAAATAGATACTTTTTAAAAAGTCACAATGGCCCTAGGAAACAAAATTAGACTTGGCAAATATAAATAGTATTTTCTCTTTGCAGTCAAGAATGTGGGGTCTTGTTGATACACAGAGGAGGATCTTGAAGTATAATTTCAGTTAAGTTATTTCTTTCCTTTGCACTGGTTGCAGAGTCTGAAGTGAAGCAAAGATCACCTGATAAATTCCTGTAGGGTTTCCCAGCACATTTGTTTCATTCTTACTCTAAGTCGCTAATCAAAGACTTCTTGTGTTATCTTTCAAAAAAGCAATGCTTCCTCATTCCCTGATACTTGTTTTCTGCCCTCCAAGTGTCTCCAGTCCAACTGGCCAAAAGCCCAGGCCAGACAAAGGTGCCTGGATTTCAGTAGGGGAATAAATAAATTTAGCTTCTACTCCTTTCCCTCTACTTCATCATTTTTTTTCTTTTGCAAAGGAGTTTGGAATTTAAATCCTCCAAGTCCAGAATCTGCCAGGTCTAAAACTACAAAACGATGGCAATGATAAGGTACCTGGTCAGCCCTCCAACCCTCCCTACAGATCTGTCTCCTGAGAGTGACTGCAGCACGCTTACCATACTGCCCCCAGACGCCTGTATCATAGCGAAGGCTCTCTTGCCAACGTGTAGCTATTTTGTCTTTTTTTTTTTTAAGATTTTATTTGAGAGGGAGAGAGAGTGAGCAGGAGGGAGAGGGAGAGAGAATTTGAAGTAGACTCCAAGCTGAGCACAGAGCCCAGCTCTGGGCTCGATCCCACGACCGCGAGATCATGACCTGAGCCGAAACCAAGAGTTGGATGCTTAACCGACTGCACCACCCAGGCACCCCCATGTGTAGCTATCTTGATGAGCTCATTTATTCAGTACACCGTTACTGGGTCCCATACTAGATATCAGCCTATGTGCTAAGCCCTGCAGATCCAAGCTGAAGAAGGCCTAGACCCGCCCTGAGCAGCTCACCGTCTAGTGTGGTGGCAATAATAGAGAGGGTACCTGGTGAATAACAACACGGAGCCCAAATAGCAGTAGAAGAGTGAGGGTTATAGCGATGGGAGGGATCCATGCAGCCTGAAGAAGTTTGAGAAGGCTTCACAGAAAAGGTGACTTTTAATCGTCAGCCTTAAAGGATAAAAAGGATTTCATCAGACAAAGAAGGGCTGTCTGTCGTTTCAGACACAAGACAGAAGAGCACAGCATACAGGTGGGAAAGCTCAGGTGTTTAGGGGAGAGCAAATGGCTGGACGCTGCTGGGCAGACAAGCCGCGCTGTGCGTGGGGCCCAAGGGCACAGGTTCCAGGGCCTGGGTTTGAATCCCAGCTAAGCCACTTATTGGCTCTGGTGAACTTGGCAAGTCACTTCACCTCTATAGCTTGGTTTCGTCATCTCTCAAATGAGAAAATAGCATCTACTTCACACATACATATACACATACACATGTGGCTTAAAACGGTCCTCAGAACAAAATAAATACAAGTATTATTATGGGGATACATTATGAAGGGCCTTGAATTTTAATCTGTACATTGTTCTGTAAGCAAAAGAAAGGTTTTATTTTTTTAATTTTATTTTATTATGTTAATCACCATACATTACATCATTAGTTTTTGATGCAGTGTTTCATGATTCATTGTTTGCGTATAACACCCAGTGCTCCATGCAGTACGTGTAGGAAGGGAAAAATGAGGGGGGGAAATCGGAGGGGGAGACGAACCATGAGAGACTATGGACTCTGAGAAACAAACTGAGAGTTCTAGAGGGGAGGGGGTGGGGGGTGGGTTAGCCTGGTGGTGGGTATTAAAAAGAAAGGTTTTAAAGCTGATGAGGTGAAAGTATGCAATAGGATATCATCTGTGTTTTAGAAAATCAACTCTGGTGCCACTTTGCAGAGTCCCCTCGCTACGAAGGAGACTAGAGGCACAGTCCATGTTCTGAGGTCATTTAAAGAGTCAAATAAGAGGTGCTGATGTAACACGGTTCTCAATTAATACGGTAGCCTTGCCCTTAAAAATTCTGGGTTCCGGGGCACCTGGGGGACTCAGTTAAGCGTCGGACTCGATTTCAGCTGAGGTCGTGATCTCCGGGTTGTGAGATCCAGCCCCGCATCAGGATCCACACTTAGCATGGAGTCTGCTTGAGATTTTTCCCCTTCCCTCCACCTCCCTTTCTACTCCTCTCGCCACTTATGCTCCCTTCTAGATAGATTAGATAGATGATGATAGATAGATAGATAGATAGATAGATAGATAGATAGATAGATAGATAGATAGATAAAATTTTAAAAAAACTGGGTTCCTAACTAGAAATTTCAACTGGAAACTCAGTCTTAACAGGTCTTCCAGGTTAGTGAGAACCCTGGGGAAGAGCACTAAGGGGTGCTCCTTCTAGTGCGGATGTTTGAGTGTTCAACTGATGCCCCTCTTCTGCACCCAAATAGCAGACCAGTACTCCTTGCATACTAATCATGCTATCCTTTAGCCAGTTACATGTCATGGGCGAGATACTCTGTTTTTGGAGATGCTTTTTTTTTTTTCCTTGGAGTAACCTCAAATCTACTGCTCAGTTTCCTAGAGGAAGTTCTGGCTTCTGGACTGCACAGCCGAAGCAGGGAGAGCTCTCAAGTTCCATCGAGGTCAGCAAGCAGAAGATGAAATGGTGATGGTGAGGTGAAGAGAATGGCGCAACTTCCCCTCTAGGCTCTCTGCAGGCCTTCCCTGCTGGCCAGAGGGTTGGAGAAGAGCCTTGGGTTTTGTGCTTGTCGTTATAACCCATCTCCAAGTAGCCTGCTAATTCCTGAACTGTTGGCACAGACACCAAGACTCCCAGTGATGAGTTGAGAATAAGTCTATGCCCATCCCAACCCACTTTTCTCATGGTTTCTGTATTAAATAAACAGATGTGTTCCCTGTATTTGACAGCACAATCACTTCAGTTTCTGATGAATTCTGTTGGGATCTTACTAGAGAAAACGGTTATTAGAGCTCAGAGGAGTTTAAAAAGTAATCATTTGATGCACACGCTACACATCCTCTCTTCTCTTGACCCCTTTTACTTTTCATTAACCACATTCCTGCACACCTCATTTTTTGAAAACTCACCATGTTTCTGTAAAGAACCATCCAAAAATTGTTCCTACATTGCAGTGTTTTGTGGCACTGAGAAACCATGGATGACTACAATAAAAATCCATTTTGTGAAAAGATACAAGTTTTTATTTCTTTGGGGTTAATAACTATTTATGGGAATTCATGAGACGAGGCATGAGCTGGCTTTACACCGAACATAGAGAAGGCATTGCTTCTATCCAAAGGATATTTAAAGTATGTCCAGGCAAATGATAAATTCTGGTGTCAATTTCGATTGTCTTGAAAGCAGTGGAAAGTGGTGATGTCACTAATGCCAGGAAGTTATGGCATCCTCAAATCATAGCAAAAACACCACAGCACAATCCTGCCCTGGTTCTCCGTAAGTCCTTTATATATTTTTTAACCTTCTTTTTATGTTGAACATAAAATATTCTCTAGCCTCAGATAGCCTAAGTTCCGATCTGTCACAGTTATCAGGCTTTGGGAATCCTAGTCTCCTTGTGGCTCAGTGTCCTCATCTGTAAAATAAGAGTAATAGGAGCACCAGGGTGGCTCAGTCAGTTAAGCAGCCAACTCGATTTTAGCTTAGGTCACGATCTCAGGGTCGTGAGATTGAGCCCTGAATTGGGCTCTGTGCTCAGTGGGGAGTCGGCTTCTCTCTCTCTCCCTCTCTCTCTCCATCCCTCTCCCTCTGCCCCTCTCCCTGCTTGCCCACTCTGTCTCTAAAATAAATCTTTTGAAAAAATGAGAGTAATAAAGTACCGTCCTCATAGGATTATAAGAATTTGATAATACATATAAAGCACTGAGAACACTGCAAACACTAATAATAGACAATAAGATTGATTCCTGTCTCCAACCTGGGGATACAAAATCACTCTACAGAAAGATCGGATTCCTGTCAACCCTCCCACTGCACTAATCAGCAGCTCAAGAAATAAGGGAAAAAATAAAGGTCATTCTATCCATCTCCCTTTTCCCCATTCCCTCTCCCTTTTTTCCATTGTTTCTTTAACTCATACTCATGTGAAGCCCTAAGGCTGTGTCCATATTTTAGCTAAGAGCTAAGATCTAAATTCCTTTTTTTTTTTGTGGGTCATTTTTAGGTACATTTTTACAAATTTTTCCCTTTTTTATAATAAAAAAGACTGCCTTCACTTGGGGACACATTATTTTAATTGCAGCATTTTATGAGTTACATAGTTTTTTCAAATAAACAGAAACCTCCCTCCAAGCAGGATTACCTGTGCTTCCCCTCCTCTTGGCAAGATAACTCTTTGGAATAAGAATAATAACAACAGAGACTTTTCGGGGTGCCTGGGTGGCTCAGTCGGTTAAGCAACCAACTCTTGATTTCAGCTCAGGTCATGATCTCAGGGTGGAGGCATCGAGCCCTGCCTTGGGCTCTCTGCTCATCCGGGAGTCTGCTTGAGATTCTCTGCCTCTCCCTCTGCTCCCTCACTCACTCTCTGTAAAATAAATCTTTTTTAAAAAAGGAACAGAGACTTCTCTTATATCATTCCTCCTATTATTTGCCTGCTTCCATTGTGCCTACTCAACTAACAATACCAAGAAACCTAAAAAGTGAGCCTTGGGGCGCCTGGGTGGCTCAGTCGTTAAGTGTCTGCCTTCGGCTCAGGTCATGGTCCCAGGGTCCTGAGATCGGGCCCCGTGTCGGGCTCCCTGCTCTGTGGGAAGCCTGCTTCTCCCTCTCCCACTCCCCCTGCTTGTGTTCCCTCTCTCGCTGTGTCTCTCTCTGTCAAATAAATAAATAAAATCTTTAAAAATAAATAAATAAAAAATAAAAAGTGAGCCTTATCCTCAAGATGTTTGATGCCAGAAGTTGGCATTTCTTTATTAAGGATCAAAGACTTACATACATTTTTTAATAATTTTTAAAGTATTTTTTTTAGAGAGAGAGAAACTGCATGCACGCGTGTGAGTTGCCGGGGAGGGGCAGAGGGAGGAGGAGAGAATCCCAAACGGGCTGCACAGCCAGCGCAGAGCCCAACTCGGGCACTATTTCACAACCTGAGATCATGACCTGAGCCAAAGTCAAGAGTCCAATGCTTAACAAACTGAGCCATCCAGATGCCCCAAAGACTTACATTTTTATTTAAGATTTACAGAACTGATTACATTATGAGTGGCTCTTTATCTTTACCCTTTAAAAACAGCATTTTCCTTGAAGTCTCATGTGCTTTTAATGACCTCCCTTCCACAGACTGAAATGCTCTAGTCAAATGTCCCATTTACTCTACAAAGCCGAGGCACTGTTTTTAGCTAACCAAATGTTTGGACAGCAGTTTTTGCACGGTAAACTTGCAAGCAGCAACTCACAATCCTTATCACTGATAGCTCCTTCCTTCCTCCCTTACTTGGAGTGGCTTATAAAACAGTTGAAGAATAATGTTGCTGGCAGGTGTGTCTTACCCATGGTGATGCTATTAGGGAGGTAACCCCATCACAAGTTCTCCCAGTATCTTCTCTCCACCAAAGAGAGAAATTGGCTTGAGTCATCTTTGTGGTTCATGAGTACGATGGTGTCAAGCTCACTGAGGAGACAGTGCTATGACAATGTGTAAAAGCACCCATAAATTCCCACTCTGAGATTTCTCACTTAAGAATTGGAATTTGGAAATAGTCCTAAATCCAAAATCCCAATTCAGGTGCCATGATACTCACCTGGTGAGAGAGAAGTGAGCCGAGGAATAGGCCCGGGAGGAGTATGGCCCAGGGAAAGAGGTGTGAGTAACAGGACCCCGGGAGGCAAGGTGAGGGGGATAGGGGCAGGTCAGTAAGATGAGACAGTGCAGCAGTGCAGGTTAGTGAGAGAAAAACCCAGAGATTTATGTAACATCTTACGGAGCAAATAGGAAAGGTTCTGCAGCCCACATGCATCTGTTCTGGAATCTGAAAATTACTTTGGAGGGTTTTGATTTTTTAGCAGTCCCTCTGCCTGATGTTCCACAAAGCTCCAGCACAAAGGACCCCACTACCTTGCATACAGCAGACACTCAAATATTTGTTGACTTTTGAAAGGAGGAGAAAGGAAGATGGGGCAAATGAATCTCTCGTCTCCCATAAGCCAGAATCTGTTTAAACTGTAAATCTAAACTGCTCTCATATGCCTGGCCAGCAAGCCCTCAAAAGAGCATGCCTGCTACTTTTTCCTCACCAGTACACTGGGACATTTGGCTTCCTTATTTATGAAGATATGCTGGATTTTCTCATTCTTTTTAAAGCACTTTTTAAACAGAGAGTGAGAAATAGAGATGGTGGAAGGGGAGAGGTGGGTGAGGGTGTGTGTGTGTGTGTGTGTGTGTGTGTGTGTACACAAAGCCTAAACAGTAGACTAGAGTAAGAACACCTGGATTCTAATCCATTTAGCCAGTAACTTTGTAAACATGGCCAAGTCGATTGAGTTGCCATGCAGTTTACTCATTTTCCAAATGGGAATAATATTTATCCCACATACCTCACAAGGTGGCACTAAAGATTTAAAGAAATTATATCTAAGAGCATTTTGAAATGATAAATTTCTGTATCAGTCTAAAATAGAGGCATTAATTACTGTGGTAAATGGAAAGAGGTTAAGAGGAATATTATTGGATGAGGAGGAAAGGGGGTGGCTGGGAAAAGAGAAAAGCCCCTCCTTCATCTGACAGATGCCAGAAAAAGCCAAGACCACCCCATTCCTGAAACCACAAAATTGGTCAATACTTTCTTTTATCTTGAGACATCTCCAGAAAAAAAGAGTTCTTCCTTTTCCCTGCTCTTGTGTGCCAGGGATTTGTATTCATTTTTTGGTTATTGCATGTCTGCCATATGCCAGGCAATGTGTTTGTTAGCTTATTATTGTTCAATAATTAGCCCTAGAGGACAATACTTGCAGATTTTCATAGAACTTCGACAGGTCATCTCCTATATCCCACTAACTTTCCTTGTTGAGGGAACTGGCAGCTCACCCCTCACCGTTTAATATGTTGAGGAACAGAGTTCTAACGAAATTCAGTGACTTGGGGCCCCTGAGTGGCTCAGTGGGTTAAGCCCCCGACTCTGAGTTTCTGCTCAGGTCACGATCTCAGGGTTGTAAGATGGAGACCCGCCTGGGGCTCTGAGGTCAGTGCAGAGTCTGCTTGTCCCTCTCCCTCTGCTCCTATCTCTCTCAAATAAATAAATAAAATCTAAAATTAAATTTTTTTAAAAAAAGAAAGAAATTCAGTGACTTGACCAAAGGCCACAAAGTCGTGATGGCGAAACTAGTACCCAAACCTGGGTTTCCTGACTCCCCACCTCCCCTTAAATCTGTACTGGAAAAAAAACGAAGTTACTAAGATGTTGGTCTGTAAGCTCTGAGGCAGATCTGGTGTGGGAGGCATCAGCAGAGGTTTCCCCTAGTCAGGGCATCCTCTGAGCATGGAGCCCTTCCCTCCACTGGATTCGGATGGGATGTTTCCAGGTCAGTGCAGCAGGAAGAGATACCCAGGTAATAGGAAGTTTAAGCCTCACCTGGAGCTTATATTTAAAGCCACATGGTACTCTGGACAATGGCTTTGGAGACAGAGAAATCTACTCTTGCCAGTACTTAGCGTGTGTGTCTGCATATCCCTCGGCCATCCTGAGTCTCACTTTTCTCTCTGTGCAATGGAGCTCATGCGTATATCCACTTCATACTTAGGCTCAAAGAAGGCCTGAGGCTTTGTAAACTGGTAGCAATATGGATTACTATGCACTCCACTCCCCCCGCGTGCCCCTACACACCAACCAGTACCCCCGTCCTCTGGGAACATAAAACTTTTCCCCAGCACCTGACCTACCCAGGCCACTATCTCTACCACCCAGGGAGTGTGAATTCCAGTTGCCGGTTCTCGGTAAGGCGGGCGCCCTCCCACCTCCCGCTCTTGTTTTTGTTTCTGTGTTTGGGAGGGAGACGATCTCGATCTAGGTTATCTCGGTCTTCCTAAACCTCTGCATTATCCGTTCCAGCCGCCTCCGCGGGCTGTCTGGGCAGGTCCGGCGGGTCGCTGTCTCGGGCTCCACCCCCGGCTCCGGCCGCAGGTGCGAGCGTGGGTCCCGCGGACCAACCCCCCTCCCCATCCCCCGCCCCGGGAGCCGCTCTCCCGCTGGGTTTAGGTCTGTCTTCTTCACCCTCAGCGAGTCAGAAACAAAGGAGGGGGGTGGGGGAGCGCACCATCTCCGGCTCCGCGATTCGCCCTTTATTCTGAACTCGCAACGTCAGCGGGCCGGCGGATGGAACCGCGGGGCGCGGGCCGGGCCGCCCACAGCGCGCCGGGCCGGGGAGCTGGCGGCGGGGGCGCGCGGGGGCCCGGGCCGCGTGGGCGCCGGGATGGAGGGCGCCGAGGGGCGGGGAGCGGGCGTGCGTGTGTGTGCGAGTGCGAGGGAGGCCGGCCTTTAGTGTAACCGGAGCTACAAAGAAGGGGAGAGTCCGGGAGAGGGAGGGAGGAGCGGCGGCGGCGGCGCCGGGGGCAGCTCCGCCAGCCGGCCCCTTCCCCCCGCGCCCGCGCCCGCGCCCACCCGGAATGATGAAGAAGAACAATTCCACCAAGAGGGTGAGTGCGCCCGCGCCCGTCGCCGGCCGCTCGGAGGACCCCGGCCCCGCGGCCCCGGCGCCGCCGGGGCGGGGTGGGGGGGGCTTTTGTGTGCGGACTTGGGTCGGGGGCTTGGACTTGGCTCACTTTCCGCCGGCCCCCGGCGCCCCCTCCCCCGGGCGGCCGGCCGCCGCCTGCGTGCGCGCTGCAGCGGCCCCGAGACAATGAGAAATAAAATAAAATGCCGTTAATCCCGGCGCGGCGGGGACCGAGGCTGCGGGAGGGGGCGGGGGACCTGGCGGCCAGCCGGAGGCCACCCTCCGCCCAGGCCGGGCCCCGGCCCCTTCCTCTCGCACTTGGAGTTGTTTATGTGGGGGAAGCGGGAGGGCAGCGGTGGGGTAGAGAGTTGCCCGGAGTGAAAACCTTCCGAGGAGTGGGGAGCGAACGCGGGGCGCCCTGAGTCCAGCCTCTGGGGGTGGGGTGGGGGGCGGTCACGGGAAAGCCGGCGAGAGGGGAGCCGAGGCGGGTCGTGAGGGCCGGAATGAGACGAGGAGAAGGCGATAGCCACCTAACCGGAAGGTTCTGCTCTTGCCCTGGGGCAGGGGCTTCAGGATGGCAACCAGCCGTCCGCACCGCCGGAGAAGGTCGGCTGGGTCCGGAAATTCTGCGGGAAAGGGATTTTCAGGGAGATTTGGAAAAACCGTTATGTGGTGCTGAAGGGGGACCAGCTGTACATCTCTGAGAAGGAGGTAGGTGCCCTCTGCCTCCGCTGTCCCTGCTTCCTCACATTCCCCGTTTTGTCCCTCCACAGGGGACTCACCTACCTCCGCCTCCCGCTTCCCTCACCGCCCCCCCCATTTTGTTCCAAAAGCAAGTTCAGCAATTCGGTTGGTCTCTACCCCTGTCAGATCTGCAGAGAAAGGTCACCCTTTCTCCGGAAGACCCGAGTTAGAATTCGAAGTCGAGCGTGCATTTTACTTAATGATTTTTCTTGGCAAACACCTTTCTGACAACGACGATGACACCCCCCCCACGGTGTCCCAAAAGTTCTAAGTGTCCCCTGCTGCCCCCTACCCTATCCTGGCAGCTAGCTGGAGGTAGGATTTTTTTTTTTTTCTTTGCCACGGCTGCTGAAAAACTCTGCTCAGCTTCTTCACCCCTTCCTGTGCCCCTGCCCCCAGCCAGCGAACCTCCTCGGTCCTGTCTCTAGCAGGGGGGGCTTATGCGGGTCATATCACAAGTGCAGCTGCCCCAGTCACAGAAAACACATACACAACCCTGGGTCAGTCTCATATGACCTCAGGCAGAGTATCTATGAGTGGCAGTTATTTCTGTTGAAGCCAACGTTCCTAACCTGTATGCTTCCCACTCCATTAAAAAAAGCAGCAGCAGCAGCAAGGAACTCATTCTCCACCCTCTTCATAACTTCCCCCAGTTGTATCAGAAAGGAGACAAATGGAGGCAGGAACCCCTGTCCGTCCCTGGGTAGTTAAAATGAAAACCACAGTCGGCATTCAGAACCTGAGCCCAGATCCCTGAACCCACACTCTTCTTCTCCCTTTTATCTCTGTTTCTTGAGATCAGTAACACCTGAGAAACTGACATTGTCTTCCGTGAGTTGGAAGTCATTCCAGTCCCCTACTTCTGAGAATGTGTCCACATTAGGCTAGGACACTGTCCTGGGCTCCCCTGGTTGGGTGGCCCGGCCTCCCCTAATCCTGTGGGCCCCCCCGCCAGCCTAACTGGGAAGTCCACCCTGAGTTCTAACCTCTTCTGCTTTCTGCAGTAGATTATATTTAGGTAAATAAATCCTTATATGGTATTGAAACAGACACATGCGCAGTCCTAGAGAAAGTATTCATTTGAACAGAACATGTACCTAGGCAAGTAGGGGAGAGCTAAGCTGTGCCCAGGCCCGAGCCATCCCTCTTTTGGGTGTTTCGACCTGACTGTTTACACCAAGCTGGGAACTTGGTGATGGAGGGCAGTGGGAGAAGACTTTGACAGCAGGATTTCTTCTTAAGGGCCACCTCTACCCAATCCCAAATCCTGTAGAAGGTTTTTCCACATTTTGCTGGCTTTCCAGTTTAAAAAATAGTAATAATAAGCAAGTGTCAAAGGGTATCTCCTGTCTTCCCCGAACTTCATAATGGCAGGAAACTCTGGTGAGCAATCAGGGAGAACTTCCCACACGTCAGAGGGGAACCATGAGAACAGTGAAAGGGTAGAAGGAACAAGACATCTTTTCTTGTCTGTATTTGTCCAAAGAAAAGAGTCTGGGAGCGAAAGAACATGCTTGCTCCTGTTTGTGGATGAAGGAGTACAGAGACAGGGGGAAGGCCCGAATGACCTCAGCCTCCAAGGCTTGGTGTCCTCTGAGTCAGGAGCATCTGACTGGTCAGGGGGCCCCGCTGCCCCCTGCTGAGAAGGGCGCAGGAGAAGAGGGGACAAGCCTACTGTTACTCCTCTTCTTTGGAGCCCGTTTCCATGCTACGGCAGGCCTGGGCTAAGGGTGAAGCTGACAGAGGACTCTGGGCTCTATTCTGTCCACTTCCCACAAGCTCCAGAGCTAATAGATTCAAGATTTTTTTTAAAATGCAAAGTATAATGTTTGTAATTTATGTGTTAATGCAAGAATATCCCTAACCCTCTCCCCTCAAATTTTCAACAGTCTTTTTTTGTTACCTCTCCTCATAAAGGGGGTCTCCCACCACCACCTCCATCAAAGAAATCCTTCTGTATTTGTTGTTATTAATCATTTTCCTCATTCTCAGTCAAAGGGCACCTTATGATCATGGGGTTGATGTATAGGAACAGAAACTAGATCTTAGGGAGATCTCCGGGTAGAGGAAATTGGGTTCAGGGCGTCTTTTTTGGCACGGGAAAATCCCTTTCTGTGGGCCCAGGGGAAAGGAAGGGCTAGCTTTGGAAGATGGGTAATTATAAATGAGACCTTGGGACAAGGGTCTCGGAGCTGTCCATCTTCCGCGGGACTGGAATCCACTTGTCCCGCCTTTTGTCCCTTCTCCTACCACGGCCCAACCTCTGTCACTGTCTCCTTCCTGGAGCTCCTTGTCAGCGTGTCTGAGCCAGAGTACCCTCCGCCCTTCCCTACCCTTCCCTTCTCCCTTCCCTTCCCTTCCTGAAAGGAAAACAGAACAAGTAACTCTCCTCCCCTGGCTCCATACACACACCCAGCACTTTCCTCTCTAAGAGTCCTGGCGGCTGCTGATAGTCTCAAGACTGAGGAAGAAGGACAGGAGGGCTGATGCATCATCCTCCCTCACTGCCCCACATTTCTGGGAATTGTTCTCAGATACCCCTTGCCAGCACCTTCTCTGCTCCCATCCACAAGCCTCCCGGACCTCTGGTCACTTACTAGCCTCAAGCCGGGGAGCCCTGGAAGGGGAAAGCCATGGGGGAGGCACTCCAGGCCAACACAAACAGGCAGATGGATGAGCAGCCATTGACCCCAGCGAGGCTGTGGGATGAGCCCTCCGCCTCTGTGTCAGCCCCCTGGCCCCAGCGGTGAGTCCGAAGGACAGGCAGATGCAAGACCAGAGGTGGGCCGGGGAGTGGAAGGGAGACTCACTCCCCCACCTCAAGGCTGCTGAGAACCAGGGGAATAGATGAAGTCACCTGCGTGCACACAGTTCCTAGTTCACGCTTGAGAAACAGTTCCGATCGGGGAGGGTGGGTGTCTTCCAAGGGAGATAGGAGACTACTTTTATCTGTTTGTTTAGTTTTGACAAGACAAGCACTCGCGCTCTTCCTCTCTCATCCCAGGAAAACACGAGCAGCTCGAGCAGCTCGTTCCCAGGGTCTTCTGATCCCAGGCTCAAATGGTAGAGGGACAAAGGGCTTTCTAATCACAGGCTGCTCGCCTGGGCCAGTGACTAAGTCCCTCTCCTCTTGTAAGCCAGAACAATCCATGAGCCACAGCTTCAGAGTCCCAGGCCTGTGGGGAACACCTTAGTGGAGAGGAGAAACAACGGAGAGGTTTTCCCGAGACCTCGGCAGAAGTATTACTGGGATTTGCTTTGTGGCACTCCACAGAGGTTGGGGTCAGAGGGTGGAGAGAGAATTGTGGTCTCTGATGAGACGTTCGGCAGGAGGATGAAGGGCCACATGCTGGCTAACGCTGCGAAGGGTAGACCCAGAGGCAAGAGAGACACCACGAGCAGGAAGGGCTCAGTTTCGACACAAAGGAGAACTTCCAGGCAGGAAGGCGCTTAGGCTCTCAAAACTGGAACCATGGAAAGAAGTAGCAGAATACAAGTCTGAAATGTCCTCCAGGGACAGTGTAAGCGCATCTTTGTCTAGGGAGAGGTGGATGACTTAAATGGCTCTCGAAGCCTGCAAGGGCTAGGCCGGGTCGTCTCAGTAGCTCGGAGAGCAGGAGTAGGGTAAGAACTACAGGTATATTTTTCAGCTTGTCTGAACAAACTCAACACAGGGGACTGCTGTTTCTGTGGTGCTGAAGCTCCTGAAATGAAGGAGGTCAATGACTCTTTTTAGAATAATATATATTTGAGGAGGGAGTCAGGTAAGAAAGCCTGGCTGGCTCAGTCAGTGGAGCGTGCGACTCTTGATCTTGGGGTTCTGAGTTCGAGCCCCATGTTGGGTGTAGAGATTACTTAAAAAAAATAATAAAACCTGGGGCGCCTGGGTGGCTCAGTCGTTAAGCGTCTGCCTTTGGCTCAGGTCATGATCCCAGGGTCCTGGGATCAAGCCCTGCATCGGGCTCTCTGCTCAGTGGAGAGCCTGCCTCTCCCCCCCGCTTGTGTTCCCTCTCTCACTGTGTCTCTCTCTGTCAAATAAATCTTTAAAAAAAAAAAAAAAAAGCGACAGTGTAGGGAATCAGTTAAGCGTCTGTCTTCGGCTCAGGTCATGATCCCAGGGCCCTGGGATTGAGGCCCGCATGCCTGCTTCTCCCTCTCCCTCTGCCACTACCCCTGCTTGTGCTCTCTCTCTCTCTCTCTCTGACAAATAAAATCTTTTTTAAAAAATTAATTAATTAAAATTAAAATAAAGCAACAGTGTAAACATTTAATAAGATGGGGGAGACCAGAGGTAGCATTTGCCTGGAGACATCCCGTGATACTGACCCTGCTTTTATCTCCTCCCTCTGCATGATCAACAGCCTCCCAGGTCTTGCTTTCTTCAGGATGATAGGATTAACCTATTAGCCACCACATAAGCCGTGTCTTTTGAAGGACATAACAGGGGTCATAGTGAAGAGAGATATCCTGGGGCTCTGGAAACAGGAGCTTAGCCGAAGAGAGTGGGGATAAGGGGATAAGGGGTTTACATGGAAACCCACCGGAGGAGTCGGGGCTTGAGGGCTGCCCCAGGACCATGCCCACTCTCAGGCCTGTGTGGGCCTTGGGTCAGACAGCTCTCCTACCCTGTGCTCCCTCCCCTCTCCTTAGGCTCATCCTGTTTCCCAGAACCGGCCTAAATTAACAGTCTGGGGGAAGGCATGAAGTCATCTTCTCCTCAGCACCTCACCTCTAACCCTCCCCTAGGTAAAAGATGAGAAAAATGTTCAAGAGGTGTTTGACCTGAGTGACTATGAGAAGTGTGAAGAGCTCCGGAAATCCAAGAGCAGGAGCAAGAAAAATCATAGCAAGTTTACTCTTGCCCACTCCAAACAGCCCGGCAACACGGTAGGTTTCTCCTGCCTCCTGGGCCCTTGGAACCCAGGCCGGCTTGCATGTCGGGGGCAGAGGAGAACACCTTTGCCCTTCAGGTTCTCCCCCCACTCTGGGCCCAGAGGCCCCACACTTGCCCTCCTGACAGCTTTTGTTATATAACCTGAGAATATTGTGGCCATTGCCTTCCCTCCAGGCGAGCCAGCCTTTAAACTATCCAACCACAGAGATCATCTCTCTCTCTCTCTCTCTCTCTCTCTCTCTCTCTCTCTCTGTCTCTCACACACACAGGCACACATACATCATACCATCTCTTGGAAGAAAATCACTTTTCCCTGTACCCTGATAAGTGAAGTTCTGAATCTAATTTCTCTTGTCTGAGGGGACTCAGGGAAGTTCCTGTCACTTTCTGTTTACTCAAACATTAAAGATCTTTATTTTAGTACCTGTCCTTTATTAACTGTCAAACCTCCTATAATTATCTCCAGTGACATAGTAATATCCATTACCCTTCCTAGCTCTTCCTTGGTCATTTCTAAAACAACCTCTAAGCTGTGGCATCTTCTAGGACTAGAGGCTGGTTTCCTTAGGTTGTGGATGACTCTGGAAGCAGAATCTCTCTCCTTCTAGGAGCTGGGTCTAAGAGAATGAGATGATAATTCCTTATTTCTTCACCCTTCCTAGTGAGGCACCAACCCTAAAACGCTGGCTGAACCAAGAATCTTCCCCTCACAGGCTCCCAACCTGATCTTCCTGGCCGTGAGTCCAGAAGAAAAGGAATCATGGATCAATGCCCTCAACTCTGCTATCACCCGAGCCAAGAACCGTATCTTGGATGAGGTCAGGGGGGCTCATGTGGAGGGGAGGAGCACCAGGGCAGAGGCAGTACCCATGACTCATGTAAAGGGGGAGGTTTGGGGGTGGACCCCACTTAACTTGCTACCCCCCACGAGCTATACTTCTTTAGCCCCCTTTGAAAGCCCCATTGTCCCACCTTCTGAGTCTTTCCGCCAACTCCTCTTTCCATGCTTTGTGGTGCCTGGGGCCAGCCTTGGAGCCCCCGCACATGCAATAAAGGCCTTGCCCTTGGATTTTCTCAGAACCAGTCAATGGGGTGGGTTTATTTCCCAGTCCAGGCATGTTCAGGGGATGCTGGGTTGGTACACTCTCTGAAGAGCGCCCATGACTCACAATGCATCTCTACAGGTCACCGTTGAGGAGGACAGCTATCTCGCGCACCCCACTCGAGACAGGGCAAAAATCCAGCACTCCCGCCGCCCCCCAACTCGGGGACACCTGATGGCCGTGGTACGTAAGATTGTAAGAAAGTAAAACTTGTTCAAGGGCCAACTCCATGTGGGTCCGTCTCAGACGAGAGTGTTCAGCCCACCAGAGGCATTTGTGGTACCAAGGTCAAAGGCTCAGGAAGTCCCTTCACCCTGTCCCCCTGCCTGATTCCTCCAAATCAGAAATACTTATTTAGCACCTACTATGAGTTCAAAAGTCCTTGCCCTCAATAAATGTATCATTCTTGGTGGAAAATGAGATCTACCCACAAGGAAAGCGAACATAGAAGAGGTGAGTGCTGTGCCACGGAGTAGAAGTTAACTGCGCAGCGGTGGCATCAGGCCCTGCAGTCACTTCCAGGAGGAAGGAGCACCAAGACACCCCCACCCCACCCCACCCCCGCAACACACCGAGTGCTGGTTCCTCTCACTGTCCGAGCTCTCGGTCTCTAGAGAGAGAGAGGCAGTCGGGTATAGTAGAAAGAACACAGGCTTTGGAGTCAGACAGAACCAGGTTGTAACCTAGCTTTGCAGTTTACTCTCTCCTGACTCCCTCCCTGAGGCTGCACGTCTTCAGCAGGAAAGGGGGCAGGCACCATGCCTGCCTTGAAGGGCTGCTGTGAGCAATGAATGAAACAGCACATGTATCCATACACCTGAGGTGCTGAATAGTACCTCTATTGTTTTTTATTACTGTAGTGTTCTGGAAATCGAACAAGTTTTACTCTAAGGCGCACGGTTCTGAGCTCTAAAGGGCAGAGGCGGGTGAGGTGCAGGGTCCGGAGGACACGGATGGAAAAGGACAGTAGTTGCGCTGTGCCGAGCATCCTGTGTGTGTCAAACCCCATTTGGTGCTTAGAGTCCCCAAGACGGAGGGAAAAAGGCACTCTTCAGGAAGTTTATAGTAAAAGGGAGAGTATGGGACACGAGCGGGAGAAGTTGCTTTAAATCACAGAACAATAGGAGAAAAGTTCCAATCACTATCAAAGGAATAAGAAACAGTAAGAAAGTCAAAGGGCTCGGTCAGGATGGAGGAGGGAGATGGCCAGTTTGCCTCTGTCTTTCAGACAGACAGTCACTCCTGAACAGCCTACTGACGGCAGTTCACCCCTTCACCCCCGCCCTCTCCTTCCCTAGGCTTCCACTTCTACCTCGGATGGGATGCTGACTTTGGACCTGATCCAGGAGGAAGACCCTTCCCCGGAGGAACCAGCCTCTTGCGCCGAGAGCTTTCGCGTGGACCTGGACAAGTCTGTGGCCCATCTGGCCGGCAGCCGGCGGAGAGCAGACTCAGACCGCATCCAGCCCTCCTCAGACCGAGCCAGCGGCCTCCCCCGGGCTTGGGAAAAGCCAGACAAAGGGGCCACCTACACGCCCCAGGCCCCCAAGAAGCTGAGCCCCGCAGAGAAAGGCCGCTGTGCCTCCTTGGAGGAGATCCTGTCTCAGCGGGACGCTGCCCCGGCCTGCACCCTCCAGCTGCGGGCCGGGGACCCCCCAGGCCTCATTCCACCCCACCCGGGGCAGCTGTCCCGGATCCAGGACCTGGTCGCCAGGAAACTGGAGAAGACTCAGGAGCTGCTGACAGAGGTTCAGGGACTGGGAGATGGGAAGCGAAAGGCCAAGGACCCCCCGGGGTCTCCTCCTGATTCTGAGTCAGAGCAGCGGCTGCTGGAGACTGAGCGGCTGCTGGGAGAGGCGTCGTCGAATTGGAGCCAAGCAAAGAGGGTGCTGCAGGAAGTCAGGGAGCTGAGGGACCTGTATAGACAGATGGACCTGCAGACCCCCGACTCCCACCTCAGACCAGCCACTCAGCACAGTCAGTACCGGAAGAGCCTGATGTGAATGAGGGGGACGGCGGCTGGAACTTGGGGGGTGGGGTACACGGACTCTTATCTCCAAGTGTTGCAGGATAAAGCTTTTTTATTTACCTCAGTCAAAAAAAGGAAAAAAAAAAACCCACAAACTCGTTGCTCTTGCTGCTTGCTACCCAACCTTACCCCCACCCCCCTTTCCTTCCTTATCTGTGGCTGTTTCTCCGGCATCTCAGTTGCCTCAGATTTGAGGAGGTGACCCCTACAGCAGTATTAAGAAGCTCTCACCTAGATGAAGAGAGGGGGGAATAAAGGCATAGTCTGGCCATTTACACACACCACCCCTCAGACACGGCAGGGAACCTTCTGCAGCCCCCAAGGACGTGCATAAGCCAAGTTTGCGGGGGAGGCTTTTTCTGTTCCATCCCATTCCAGGTTTTCAATCTGAGGGTGAAATTTCAGCTGTCCAGCTCTAACCCTAGGGATATGGAAGCCACTGCCAACTGCACACACAGAAGTGACATCTGTCCCGGCCCTGAGTAGGATTTGTGGGATCCCACCAGACACACCAGCGTCTTGCTCATATCCTCTAATGAGACTGAGCTGCCTGGCTATCTTGTTTGCCATGTGTCTTCCCTTCATTTCCCCACCTTTCCCAACACCGACTCGAAGATCCAGTGCTGGACAGTTGGAATGGTGTGGTCCTTCAGTGGGGGTGGGGGGACGTGCAGGGGAACTAGGGGCGGCTGACCCCACAGAAGAACCGCACTAAGAACGAAACTGATTTGCAATGCAAGCTGGGCAGGATTGAGGGGAAAACCAAACGTGTGGCCAGGTTCCTCTTTTGGCCAAGCTAGGTTTCCTGTAGCCTCTCCCTCTCCTTCCTCAAACCTCTTTCCCAGCACTCATCAGGCCCCGACTTCAGCAAAACATCTCTGTGCTCACGCCACCACCCTCCTGGCCAGGCTCCCTTGCATTCTTATCAACGGTGGATTTCACACACTCATTCTGTTTTGTTTGCTTCTTCCCTCTGAAGTTCCTAAGATCAGATTAGCAACAGTGACAGGGGCCAGAGAAGGGCTGTGAAGGCAAGAGCTGAGTGGGTTTTGACAGGAAGGGGACAGAGAGCCTCACGAATCAACTAAAGGGGTTAGAAGCCACTTGGAAGTATATGCACCCCTTGCTAGCCCCTTGACCCTCTTCCCTAGATCTCCTCTTGCTTCCAAGAGTCAAGACCTAGCGCTCCTCTTGGGGGTGAAAGGGGAGAACGTAGGGACAGATGGCCTGTTGGTGCTGGCGGTGAGGCTGCCCCGATGTGACATTCAGGAAGATGCGGAAGGACGGAGAAAAGGAAAATCCCCTGGGGGAAGCGCAGACCCTTCAATTCCCAATCTTCTGCTCTGATGTTACTTACGCATCCCAAGTAAGCACGATGGGGGATGTCTCCAAGTTAAACAGTCTCTATGGAAGAGAGGTTCTTGCACCATGCGATCCTGAAGGTTTTCCCCAGGTCTAGCCTGTAGTTCTTTTTTTTTTAAGTTTTTATTTATTTATTTGAGAGAGAGAGAGATTGAGAGATAGAGAGCACGAGAGGGAAGAGGGTCAGAGGGAGAAGCAGACTCCCCGCCAAGCAGGGAGCCCGACGCGGGACTCGATCCCGGGACTCCAGGATCATGACCCGAACCAAAGGCAGTCGCCCAACCAACTGAGCCACCCAGGCGCCCTAGCCTATAGTTCTTTAAACGAGTCTCTTCCCTGAGGAGTATGTATCCTACTTGAGTGAGGGAGAGGACACCAGAGCACCACCTAAATGTCCTGCCCCGGGTCTCCTGAGGTAGCAGGTGAGGAAATCCGGGTCTGCAGGCTTGCCATGCTCCCAACAGGCCTTGCTCTCCTAAACTCACATGCTCGGTAGACCCCCCTGTTGTCCAATCATGAAAATCAAGGTTAAAATATTTCCTTGTAGAAGTGTCCACCTTCGTATTAATTTTACTTTACCAGCACTTTCCCTCTTCTTTTTCTTCCTGGTTGCTCCCACATAATGAAGAAAAAGACAAAAGCTGGAAGAACGTGTCTGTCCCCAGGTGCCAATTCCCTGTGGCTGCCAGGGGAGCTAGAGGACACAGGGAGGCACGGGGAGGGGAATGACAGGTGAGGGGAGCAGAAAAGAAAGATGGGGGGCTTCTGGGGGGGTGACTAAGGCCCAGGCCCCAGAACCAGGCCGCAGGGGAGCGAAACGAGCCCAGCTTGGGAACCAGACAGATCTGGGTTCAGATTCTGGCTTTTTCCTTATGAGGCCCCGGGCAAGGCACCAGCTTTCTGACTGTCCGTTTGCTCATCTGCAACATGGAGCGTTCCTGTTGGGCGGCCGGGTGGGCAAAGGGGCCAGAGGGAAATGCCTGCCGCGGACACTGAGCAAACGCCTGCGGCGGCTGTGCCCAGGACAACGACGCGCTGGCCTGGGGACAGCGAGGGCTCTAGGAGACCCCGGGCCCGCGGCCGATGGGTGCCACTTTGTTGTAGTGCGGGAGCGGACTGAGGCCGCCTGCCCCACGCAGTACCCGCGCCCTTTCTTCAATGACACGCAGCGCCAGGGCCGGGGCTACGGCTGGAGATGGGGGGCGCGGGGGGCGGGGCGCCAGATCGCCTGTCCTCCGGAGCCGCGGGGGTCAGCACCAAGCCAGCCTTGCCCCTGGGACCCTGAAGGTGGGCGGACGGGAGGACAAGAGCACCGGGAGCCCAGCTTCCCCTCGCCCAGACCTCTCTCCCCGCATTCTACCAGCCCAATTTCTTCACCTGCCATATTGCCTCCACTCCCTCCCGGTTGCTGGGTTCTGGGGTAAGTGGGTAGATTGGGCAGGGGGCTGTGAGCCCCCTCGCTTATCACACAGTTGCCAGCGGACCTGCTTCGGGGTGTGTATTTTTTCTTCCTTTCCTTCCCTCTCCCATCAATTGTGCTATATTCCTTTCTTACACAAAGGAACTGGAAAAGGGAGAATCTTTTGGGAGGCCCTAGGATGGGGAGATGGGGAAATCCAGGACGCAGAGTTGAAACGGGGTAAGGAGTGGAGACGGGTGAAGAACTAAATGCCATTTCACATTTCAGTGACCTTTTCCTCAACTTTGCCTGTTCCCCCCGCACTCGCTTGTGAAGTAGCGGTCTGGGGGACAGGAGCAAAATGTCTGCGGTGTTGACCTGAAGAGCTGATGGGTTCCTGTGCATGCTATTTCGCAGAGCTGTAGGCTGTTTACGGTGAGAAGAAAAGTGGAGAACCCCACAAGTTTCTCTAACTCCTGCTCCAGCCTTCGGAGAGCATGCCCTGCTGAGCCTGGAACTCTGACCCTAGCTCCCAGCCCCTCTGTCACCGGTATATTCCACCAAAACCTTCCCCCCCAAATCTCTCCCTTTTCTACACCTCACAAGCAAGCAGGGGACCCAGCCCCATTCCACGGCCCTCGAAGCTCGAAGCTCGGCGCTCGGCTCCAGCCCCCTCCCCTTCTCACTCCCAGCCCCTGCTCGGTACAGTTCTCTTCCTCCTTTCTTCCTAGCTCCCAGTCTCCCAAGCACAGCAGCCAATCCCCAGCCTGCTCTGGAGCCACACCATATAAGGAGAGGTTGGAAAGAAACCCGAGTAAACGCGGGAGCAAATACAACACACACACACGCGCGCGCACACACACACACTCCAGCACACTCGCGCACCCAAGAGTTTGAGCGCCTTTCTGCACGTGACCCTGCGTCTCTCCGTCTGTGTGTGACACCAGTCTCACCGGTCCCTGTCCCTGGCTCACCCCACCCACAGAACCAGGAACCTGTTTGCTATTCCCCGCCTTTATTCACGCCCCCTGAGACCATCACTCCAACCAGTTGCCTCTGACCTAGATTTTCTGCACTAATCACGAGCCTAACGAGATCTAACAAACACCCAGCTTAGCACAGCTGAGACCCTTGAGGTCAATTAGTACAACCCAGCTCAGCTCGGAAATGAGAGATGGAGTCAGAAACTCTTGTACATGCCTCACCCCAGCCCCAGCCCAGCCCCAGCCCAACCCCGCCCTGGAAGCAGGCAGGGGGAGAATGCAAAAATTAGCAGAACCAGTTTAAAAATAGGATCTTGGAGAGTTAACAAATGTGCGGGAAACGGCGTTAAGGTTGGAAAGAATACAGATTCCCAGCTCCTCCTAAGTTATCAGGAGGGTAGAGGTTGGTGCAGTGATGGGAACGAGGCACATAATGCAGTTTTCCCTTTCTTGAGGGACAATACGGAGAAGAGTAACTCCTAAAAGAGTGGGTAGCACTAGAATCTTGATCTGCACCCCAGTCTCCAACTCTTAATCCCTCTTCCTCTTTGCTTCCTGCTTTGGACAAGTTGGGGTGGTCTCCCCTGTCTTCCCAGCTGGTTTGGAATAACTCTGAAATCACCTCCTTCTTTCAGAAATGCTAGATTCAGCCTCACTCTTGCTTTCCCTTCTTCCAGATATTAAAACAGTGAGAGCGAAGAGCCCCCTTCTTCCCGAGAAACACAGAAAAGTGTAAAATAAAGGTGATCAGGTTTGGGTTAGCAAAGTATTGTGATGACGCCCAATTACTGTCTTCTAGATGAAGGCTGAGAAGAACAGCCAGGAGGGGTAGAATCGGGTTCCTCGCGCAGCTTTCCCACCCGGCAGGAAAGCAGCACAACAGAAAGAAGATGGAGCAGGGCAATGCGGTCCTCAGTTTCCCGGGTTCCTTTCTGTAGGTGGCAAAGCAAGGCAGTAGAACGCTTCCCCGCCCTCCGTCGTCTGCGTGTAGGCAAGCTGTCCTAACCTCATCCCTAGCACTGGGGGCTCTATTGAGGTGGAAAGGGAAGGAGAAGCCTAGCGAAGTGCTCTCTGCCCGAGTGGGGAGGAGGACTCAGAGCCACCGCAGGAACAGAAGGTTTCTCCCCCGCCCCGCCCAGCTCTGGCTGCAATGAGCTGCACTCTGCTCGCACCCTTCCCCATCCACAGTCCAAACTGACACAGCAACCAGGAACCGGGTGGGCAGGACAATTCACAGAAGCATCATGTCTATATGTAGATGACTCCCAAATTCACTTTCCAGGCCCCAGCCCGCCTCAGAGATCACGGCACGCACAGCCACGTGCCCCTTTGACATCTCTACTTCAGTGCCTAA